ACCTTGGAGATGCTGCTCTGCAGGGGCACAGTGAGCCCCTGAGCCCCCAAAGCTATGGAGATGCTGCTTTGCATGTGCAGAATGGGCCCCTGTGTCCTCAGTCCATGAGGATGCTGCTCTGTATGGGCAGGATGGACCCCAGAACCCCCAAACCCATGAAGATGCTGCTCTGCATAGGCAGGATGGGCCCCTGTGTTCCCTAAGCCCATGGAGATGCTGCTCTGCATGGGTAGGATGGGCCATTGTGTCCTCAATCCAAGGAGATGCTGCTCTATGTGGGCAGGGTGGACCCATGGAGATGCTGCTCTGCACAGGTAGGATAGACCCATGAGACCCCCACACACCTATGGAGGTGCTCCTCTGCATGGGCAGGATGGACCAGTGGGACTCCAAACCCATGGAGATGCTGCTCTGTATGGGTTAGGATGGACCAATGGGGACCCCAAACCCACAGAGAAGCTGCTCTGCATGGGTTAGGATGGGCCATTGTGTCCTCAACCCATGGAGACACTGCTCTGCATGGGCAGGAGGTACCTCTATGTTCCCCACATCCATGGAGATGCTGCTCTGCATGGGCAGGATGGACCAATGGGACCCCAAACCCATGGAGATGCTGCTCTGTGCAGGCAGGATGGACCAATGGGACCCCAAACCCATGGAGATGCTGCTCTGTATGGGCAGGATGGACCAATGGGACCCCAAACCCATGGAGATGCTGCTCTGTGTGGGTTAGGATGGACCAATGGGACCCCAAACCCATGGAGATGCTGCTCTGTATGGGTTAGGATGGACCAATGGGACCCCAAACCCATGGAGATGCTGCTCTGTGTGGGCAGGATGGACCAATGGGACCCCAAACCCATGGAGATGCTGCTCTGCATGGGCAGGATGGACCAATGGGACCCCAAACCCATGGAGATGCTGCTCTGTATGGGTTAGGATGGACCAATGGGACCCCAAACCCATGGAGATGCTGCTCTGTATGGGTTAGGATGGACCAATGGGACCCCAAACCCATGGAGATGCTGCTCTGTATGGGTTAGGATGGACCATTGGGACCCCAACCCATGGAGATGCTGCTCTGCATGGGTTAGGATGGGCCATTGTGTCCTCAACCCATGGAGACACTGCTCTGCATGGGCAGGAGGTACCTCTATGTTCCCCACATCCATGGAGATGCTGCTCTGCATGGGCAGGATGGACCAATGGGAAAACCCATGGAGATGCTGATAAACCCATGGAGATGCTGCTCTGTATGGGTTAGGATGGACCAATGGGACCCCAAACCCATGGAGATGCTGCTCTGTATGGGTTAGGATGGACCAATGGGACCCCAAACCCATGGAGATGCTGCTCTGTATGGGTTAGGATGGACCAATGGGACCCCAAACCCATGGAGATGCTGCTTTCCACCCCAATGGGGCAGGCTTCCAGAGCAGCTTCCATCCCTCCCCTTGGAGATGCCCACACCAGCAGCTTCAGAGAGGGTTTCCATGCACCATGTGAAGCCATCTGACAGCTTAGCCTTGGGAGGAGGGAGGAGCTGGGGACCAGAAGCAGCCCAGGAGCTGCTCCTCAGGAGACAGGGGCTGGATTTGGCCGTACCTGTGGTGCTTCTGTTCTTTGCTCCATGCCTCAGTTTCCCTTTGAGTGTGAGAAGGCCGTGAAGGCTCCAGCAGAAGGAGACCAGCAAGAGGATGCTGGGACTGCTCTGGTGGAACCCCCTGGAGCTGAAGCCTCTCCTTTGGGTGGGTACTGCCTCTGGGTTGGATGCTGTTGGGGACAGCATCCTGGTGTGAGAGGAGAGATCTCACCCAGCATCATGAGGACTTCAGGGAAGCTCCTTCAGGGAACGCTGCTGGTCCTGGGGCATCACTGTCAGTGCTCCTCCTAACCCAAGGCAGGACCAGTTCCCCACCAGCTCAGCTTTTGGGCTGCCAGCATCTGACTGAAGAAGACAGAAGAAAGATGCAGGATTGCTACTACGAAGAGAAGAGTTTATTACTTGTTAACAACACTTCATTGAGCTGAATCCATGGAGCAACACAGAAACGGTTCAGGAAAGTGCAAACTCCCACTCTGCAGCTGGAGTATTCCTGGTTTGACAGAACAGGCACTGGGTAAACAAGAGCACAGATCCAGAACTGCCCAGCATTCAGACAAGGGGAACGATGCAACTGGAGATAACTCCTATCACCTCTGTACAAAGCTACTGAGGAGCAAAGGGGAGGATGGGGAACGTCCTGGGTCTTTTAACCAACAAGGCATCACCATGCAAAGAGCCCCAACTCTTACCTGGGGAGAGGGCAAAAAGGGGGGGACAAAATGAAGTGATGGCAATATTGGTTTTCAGATTAAAGAGAACATCCAAGTGCGTTCCAAAGCAGACCACACGCTCCACCATGCCCCTATGATAGAAACCATCATTCCACTTCTCCCTCAATACACCCCTTCAATAAAGCAGGAGGTGAAATCCCCAATGCTTTGGGAACCACACAGAGCAGGGACACAAAGTGCTTCCCAAGTACTGCTACACCATGGGTAACACCAGGGATCTCACCATACAGGTATGAGATACAGGAGCAGCTCAAGACCACCAAGCATCACCCAAGGCAGTGATACTGGGTGCTGTAACTCACCTCAACATCTGAAACACACTGAATTCTAGCTCTCAATTTACTTTGTGGATGACAAACCCAAGTATTTCCCCTCCTCAGAAGGAAGAGGTGGGTATTTGCTGTTAAGGAAATGAGAGCTCCTCAGGCAAAAGCCCAGCCCAAAGCAAACCTGGCTCCTTGGAGGTGCATCCTGCTGGGGGCAAGGGAAGTGAAGGGCAAGTGATGCACGACTGACCCCCATTTGGATGGGCACCAGGACACAAAGCAGGGGCTATGTGACTTTGGGCTACAGCTCAAGCTGTGCTTGAAGCTTCCAGTCATTCACCCTGTGTTAAACAAACTCCCTCCTCCTCCTCTTCCATGCAGGAGTCAAGATTCCCTCGTGCTGGGGCAGGAAGCATCCTCTAGAGGTGCAGGAGGAGACCCCTGAATAGGACTTGAAGGTATTTAAGCCACACACTGGACACTGTATAACAACTCAGCTAAAAGCTGTGTTATAGATGTCCAACCCTGCCTGGCAGCCCTGTGCTTACAGATGTCTTGTCCTAGACCCAGGGAACCGACTTCATCACGTATCTGAGTGAGACAGGGATCAAACCTGTCACATCAAGAAGGGAAAGGGCAAACCTGAGCCCTCCTAACTTCAACAAATGCTAAACCCAAGTCATGGCTGTACAAGAACAGTTAAAGCCAATGACTGGCTGCAGACCAGCCTCTAAAGAGGCATATTTTAACTGGAAGCTCCCAATAAGCATCATCCACAGTGTACTTTGATCTGTTATCTGCTTCCTACTCAAGTCAGGAAAGCCTTTGTTCTTATCTGGAAAGCAGTAAAGAAGAGCTGACAACTGCAAGAAGGTTGTGCACAAGCCCAACAAACTCCAACACAATGTAGAACAAAGTAAGATAACTACACAACTTCACACAATAGAAGGGAAGCGAGATCAGAGGGAGGAGATAAAGGAGGAGTTCCACAAATGGAACAGTATAAATATATCCAACAGTTCAAATACAGTAGGAAAACAATGGTAGCAGCAGCTTAACAACAGCAATAGCTATTATACCCTTAAATACATTCAACACGTTGTGCCTGTTGCTGTCATTCCCGAAGCACTACATCTCTAACTCACTGCTCAAATCTATGGATGAGAAGAATTCCAGGTTCTAAACTCCCTGTATTTGCCTTCATTATTAAAGAGATTTAAACTATGAACAGTTACCATGCTGATTGGAAAACGTAAGCACAATTTGCTTCCATACTGCATTTATAACACTTGTCTACTGCTAGAAAGCAGATCCCTGGGGGAAGATGTAGGTTCCTGCTCTTTGCAGGAGCATCAACGTTAACTCAAGACATAAATCCTACTGCTAACTGCTACAATACACACAGAGCTGGCCTTACCACACACACTATGCTTTGTAAAGGGTTTACCTTTGTTCAGACTTAGGTTCCAAGCCATTTGTTCTCTATTATTAAAAGGCTATTGAAGAACGAATCCAATCCGCCCAAGGCTTTACTCTGCTGCCACTGAAGGAATGATGAGTCCTCCTTCAACTTCATGCAGCTGGGATCCAGATCTGCACCTCTTTGTGAAGGCCGAAGCCAAAGCAGCAGTCAGAAGTACCTTCACACCTCCTGACACCTACCAAGCACTGTACAACAACATGAGGGTACCCTAAGTGTAAATGCTTTCACCCCATTCCCCCCCCCATCAGTCAAATATACAGTCAAGGAAAACCAACCAAGTTTTTTGGCATTAAGATACATTTCACCCCATTGCAGAACAATCTGGAAGCATTTCCTTCGAAAGTAATAAATAAATATCAGTGGCCAACAAGACTTTGTGCAACACAGACCTCCTGCAGCACATGTACATTCATATACAGCAAAAATACTTCTCCACGGTTATAGTGCAAAGCTGCTGTCAGCTTGAGATACCCAACATGAACCTCTGGTGCTCTTTGGAGCTGTGGAAATGTGACACACACAAACCCACTGCCCAACCCTGTGACATCCAGCCGTAAGGGTATAATAAGAGAGAGGACAAACAGGGATTTAACAATAGTGGCAAGACAAGAGCTTTACATTAAGGTTCTCACATAACCTTCAATAGAGTCCTTAAGAGTTGAGTTTATCTATTCCTTTTACTGTGAAGTGATAGCAGGGAGATATCCAGAACATCCTGACTTCATTCTGGAGCCTTCTATAGCCATTTAGGACACATTAACAAGTATTACTCTCAGTTAATCAATACCCAGTTTTCCTTCAAGCACTGCTTCAGTTAAAGTATCTTTCATGGCTTTTCTATGCCAAAACATGGCTTTTGCTTTCTGAAATCCTAGATATACCCATGAGAACTTCTGTACTGGCCTATTTCCTGGGGGGGAAAAAGGGATGAGCTGTACCATTTTACTCAAGCAAATGTAGGAAACAGATGGGAAGTTGTTAGAAATATGCCTTAAAAGAGAAAAAAAGAGTATTTGCAATTGATGCTGTAACAGAAATTAGCTTACAAGACATCACAAAAAGTAATGGCTTAGTAACTAGAAAAGAAAATATGATGGTGTCCGGGTCTCACCTCCATGTCTGCTCCTTTTGTAATACACAGACAATAGGAATTCAAGCCATAAACCCCCCCAAAAGTCACCAACTGGAATTTTCAGTCAAAGTTACTGGATTTTTGACACCTTTACTAAAAGGTTTAAGGTCTCTTTCTCCCTTCAGGCCATGGGCTAAAAGAAAGCAGTTGCAAAGTCATTCTAATGGGCAATTTAACCAGGGAATGAGTAAGTTTCTATCCCTCTGGAAGCACTGTGTAATCCAAACCCAGGCTGCAAGTGGAGCCACTATTGTTACACCGTTGAGTAAGTAAGATACACACAGGAAAGTTACAGTGCACCAAGAGCACCTTGAACACCATAAAGTTACTTCAGGAGCTGAAAAAGGTCATATTGAACAACCTGCCTAAACAAGGAATGCAAAGCACTGGACTCTACCTCCACTTGTTGGGAAATGAAGAGCTGTCATGATACCTACACTCACACACAACAGCTAGGAAGAAACAGGCTTCTTTGTCAGGCTGGAGCAATTGCTTCCTTTAAGTGACTATCTGATTAGAAAGCCTTTTCACACAAAGGCTACTTGGTACCTGAAATGAGTTGAAGACATGATCTAGTGGTTAAGATCTGTCTTAAACCTACGAGGGCAGTTCATTTGCATTGGTGCAGGTTAACCAAGTCTTTTGGTCAAAAGGATAGAGAACTGTAGGAAGAAATTCCATCCTTTTCCTTATCCCAATTTGCTTTTCCAATTTTCTTTTGGGGAAAACCTGACAGAAGAATGCTCCTTTACAGACTAAAACCATAGCTGTTTATCACACACACACATACACACACACATATATATTAAACTGAGTTGTGTTCTTGGTTCCTTTGTGACACAGGGCAGAGGGTCACTGCTCTGAACACCAGGGCCAGCAGATCTAAGCCGAGCGCCAGATCAGTCCATTCTTATCAGGTTCAAGGAAGTTCTCAATCAAAGCTTCAATCAGCTTCTGAAGTTCTTCTTCCAGCACGTTTCTGTCACTAGACAAGAGAACAAGACAGTGTCAGAGGTCTGATACACACCAAGCATCCATTTACAACCTGAAAAGCAGGATCTGATGGTGATGGAGCTGTTGCGTTTCCTACCAGCATCACAACCTTCTCACTTCAACCTTCTCACTTCAACCAGCTACTTTTCCATGAGGACTACTGCAGTATCAATTTAAATTCATTTAATTAAAGAACAAATTAATCTCCACTAGAGGGCTCCAGGCTGACACAACAACTCCAACTCCTACCTGCAAAACCAATGCAAGACTGGTCAGGCACGGAGTGTAAATGGGTTTAAAAGTAAGAATGAGCTACCAAGAGGAGGCAGAAACCCCATATTATCCTCTACATAGCAGCCAGATGCCCATCTTGGGCGACATGGTCCAGGCTGAGGTGTCCCTGCCCATAGCAAGGGGTAATGGAACTGAATGATCTTAAGGTCCATTCCAACCCAAACGGTTCTATGATTCTATGATCTAGGGTTTCTGATTGTATTTTGGCTAAAGAGCCATTTAGGAGGATTGAGTAATCAAGGCAAAGTGTCATGGCTCAGAAGAGGACACTGTATTGCACTGATCCTTTCCCTATTTAAATGCCCAGACATTCATTTGATCCACATGCACTAATGCATTGCAAAACTGCTTTAAAAATGCATAACCCTGTGCCAGAAGGCTCAGTGGAAGGAGAGGAACTCAGCCTGGTTTTAATAGAGAGAAGGCAAAACAGGCTTATTTACATCTGCTTGCTTCATTTGTGGAACTGAGAATCCATCATTGCACTTCAGGTCACCGCTTCCTTCTAAAGAAACCACCCCTAAATGCTGTTGTTAAACTGGCTTTCCTGATGTTCAGCTCTTCAGAATAATCAATAAGCAGCAAGCCAGAGTATTTGCAATGCTGTTACAGGGAGGGATGCCTCTGGAGGTTCCTACAGGCCACTTCATGCCTTGAACCAGGGAAGCTTGAGAGCTTTTCAATTTAGAATCATAGAATCATTTAGGTTGGAAAAGACCTCTAAGGCCATTGAATCCAGCCATTAACCCAGCACTGCCAAGGCCACCACTAACCCATGTCCCTAAGTGCCACATCTATTCATCTGTTAAATACCTGCAGGGCCGGTGCCTGCAGCCCTGCCCTGGGCAGCCTGTTCCAATGCCTTAGCACCCTCTGGGGCAGGAATTGCTCCTCAGCTCCATCTAAACCTGCCCTGGTGCAGCTTGAGGCCGGTTCCTCTTGTCCCATCCCTTGTTCCTTGGGAGCAGAGCCCAGCCCCTCCTGGCTCCATCCTCCTCTCAGGCACTTGGAGGCAGCCATCAGGTCCCCCCTGAGCCTTCTCTTCTCCATCTGAACCCCCCAGGTCTCTCAGCCCTTCCCCATCACACTTGGGCTCCAGGCCCTGCACCAGCTCCATTCCCTTCTCTGGCCCCGCTCCAGCCCCTCAATGTCTCTCTTGCAGTGAGGGGCCCAGAGCTGAGCACAGGATCCGAGGTGCAGCCTCACCAGTGCCCAGTGCAGGGGCACAATCCCTGCCCTGGCCCTGCTGACACAAGCCAGGATGCTGTTGGCCATTTTGTGTTCCTGACAATAATGGACATTAACCACAGGTAGTAACTAAAATTAAATGTCAATGTGCTTTTCTGACTTACCGGAATGAACAGCAGCAGAAGCTCAAATGATGCAAAGCATCCTCCTGTCTGTTGTTTCTCTGCACTACCCATGTCTGGCCTTCACTTGTATTAAGATTAGGTTAAAGACAGCATTTCTGGCATTTATTTCTTCCTTTTTGGTGTAGCTTTTTACCCTAAATATACCTCACCTTTTCTTTCACCAAGTGGGATGTTGCCCACTCCCAGGTTCATGGAAACATGTTCTAACTGAAGTGAGAACTTCCATACCCACATAAGAAGTGCTTTCACATGCCACATGAGCAGAAAGCTCTCTGACTGAATAAATAACAAGGTTCTAGCAAAAGCTGCCACTCAGAAAACTGGGATATAGAATCACCACTTCCCTGCCCTGCTGTTATCCCATGGTCAATACAGAACAACTAAAAGCATGATGCAGAAGATAGGCCGTACATGTGTTGATGCCCTTCATGTAGTTCCTCCTATGAGGATGCTGAGGCGCTGGCACAGGGTGCCCAGAGAAGCTGTGGCTGCCCCATCCCTGGCAGTGCTCAAGGCCAGGTTGGACACAGGGGCTTGGAGCAAGCTGCTCCAGTGGAAGGGGTCCCTGTCCATGGCAGGGGTTGGAACCGGATGAGCTTTAAGGTCTCTTCAACCCAAACCAGTCTGTGGTTCTATAATTCTATATATAGCAATGAACCATCATTTAAAGAAAACTTCAGCAATCTGGAAAACTGTCTAGGCATGGATTTGTGTATGTCCTCACGTGTACATTTTCCAAGCAAGGGCTATCTACCACTCACAGTCTATCCATGGACTGCCTAAATCTGACCAAGACGTTCAGTGATAAAGCTATGCTCAGCCTGAATTCCTGCCAATAAGTAGAAAGAAACAGCAAATCAGAGGCCCCTATATATTATTTCTACTCTCTGCTCCACAGGAATGTCGGAATCAGAGTCTAAAAGGGGGGATATTGCTGCAATTCAGGTTAGGAATCCAGTTCAAGAGCTGCTTCTCTCCATTAACTAGACTGAGAAGCTAGGCTCATACACACACCTGATTTCAGTGGTGCAAACACACCCTGTATTTGCACCCACCTCTTTTAAACTGGGAATAGCTTAACCCAGGTGGCTGTCAAAACGGGACAGACCTTTACTACTATTCCAGTAGCTCAGAGCAACACAGATTCCCAAACGCAATAAGAATTCACCTGGGTTTAAGCTACATGCCATCAGCAGCACTTAATCACTCTTTAATTTGAAGTGAATGAGGAACTGGGTTAATAAATGAGTCTCCTCAAGCAGCAGATGCCAAAAATTCAGTTCTTTGTCTTATCCACTACAGAGGGGGTCCCTTAGGAGCAGGAATGTGCATCACTGGTGAGTTTAACAGGGTGGAACAGTCAGTGAGGCTCAGGTCTCCAAGGAGGTATCAGAGGAATCGATCACAGGCAAGGAATTGGTTCCTTTCTATTGACTTTCATCCCAAAGGCATGTTGCAGTATGCACGCACCCCTCTGCTTACCTCTGCTCAGGCAGTGCACACATCTCTGCATAGTACTTGATCTTTGGTTCTGTCCCACTTGTCCGAAGGGTGGCAACGCAACCATTTTGGAAGGTAAAAGTGATCATCTGGCTGCTTTTACTCACTGGCAGCACCTACAAAACCAACATCAATTTATTACACAATGCCCCAACTTCCACAAAAGTGGGTGAATTTATGTTTGGCTGGTGTTAACTACAACATTCAGTAGGTACAAAGCTAAATAGACATGCTGGAATCCCCTCCTGTATACATCCACCAGCCAATGCAAGGCAAGAACAAGGCATTTCAGTCTGATGAGACTCAGTATTTAAGGATAACAGAACAGCCTCTTGCTCCAGTTGGAATTCCAACATCTGGAAGCCTGCTAGACAGCTTCAGAGTTGCAGAACACCAAGCTCCCTTCAACTAATAATATCAATTCATTGTTATATGAAAATAAGTGAATACTTGCTTTCTTACATTACTTATTAATACTTTTAAGTCTATTCTGCTCTTGCAACACCCCACTTGCAACACTCTGTGCTGTAATGGTGTCCCCAACATAAGGAGGGGATGGAGCTGTTGGAGCAAGTCCAGAGGAGGCCACGGGGATGCTCAGGGGCTGGAGCAGCTCCTGTATGGAGCCAGGCTGAGAACATTGGGGCTGTTAAGCCTGGAGAAGAGAAGCTGCGTGGAGACCTCAGAGCAGCTTCCAGTGTGTGAAGGGGGCTACAAGGATGCTGGGGAGGGACTCTTCATTAGGGACTGTAGTGATAGGACAAGGGGTGATGGGTTCAAGCTGAAACAGGGGAAGTTCAGGCTGGAGATAAGGCAGAAGCTCTTCCCTGTGAGGGTGCTGAGGCGCTGGCACAGGGTGCCCAGAGAAGCTGTGGCTGCCCCATCCCTGGCAGTGCTCAAGGCCAGGCTGGACACAGGGGCTTGGAGCAAGCTGCTCCAGTGGAAGGGGTCCCTACCCATGGCAGGGGGTTGGAACTGGATGATCTTAAGGTCCTTCCCAACCCAAACCATTCCATGATTGCCCTGCAAAAGTCCTTCATAACTCACCGATATCTTATTTGGCTGGCTGCTGTCATAGCCAGTGGTGACATCTCGTACATGTAAGATATTGTAAACGCCACAAAGTTTGGGATAAGACTGAGGAGCATCAAAGTTCCGAAGTCTCTCAAATATCCTTTTGATAGTAGGAGGATCATAGCACAAGAAATAGGAAGTCTTTGATATGTGGTATCCGTACCTACAAGCAGATTAACATTTTCAGTTACCAGACTCAGTTTGCTTTACATTTACTAACTAAAGAAAGCTCCTGTGTGGAAAAGCAATACAAGAATGCAGTTGTCACAGCTGTGGGAACAGGTATTTATAGGCAAATGGCAGATTTTGCTGCATTACTCAGATCATCTTCCGCTATTTTATAAACTCAAGCATAGTTTTGAGCTCCAAAGAACTAAAATCCAGACATTTGGCTTGGAAGCCTTCAGGAAATTAATACCCAGTATCATTCCCTCACCATCAAAACTTGTCTGCCACAGCCATAACAACAGATTATTTCAACAGCCTGTGAGGAAGGCGACTGATGAGTCCATCCAAGTTGAAACTACTACCCCAAATCAGACCTCATGTAAGGGCTCACCAGGTGCGGGGCTGGCAGGATATTAGGCAGAAGCTCTTCCCTGTGAGGGTGCTGAGGCGCTGGCACAGGGTGCCCAGAGAAGCTGTGGCTGCCCCATCCCTGGCAGTGCTCAAGGCCAGGTTGGACACAGGGGCTTGGAGCAAGCTGCTCCAGTGGAAGGGGTCCCTGCTCATGGCCGGGGTTGGGGCTGGAGGAGTTTTAAGGTCCCTTCAACCCAAACCAGTCTGGGATTCTATGATTTGCTGTAGCTGTGCTGCCAGTTCCATTAGAGCACAGGAACTTCTACTGATGAACAGGGTTTATCACAGCAAATAACTTAATTGTGACACAAACATGTTCCTCATTTTGCTGCAGTGAATTGCCTGTAGCTACTGAACACAGGCCATTCCTTTAACCCCTGTTCTAATACGAACCTCTGCAAGAGCAGCACGTAACAATCCCCAGACTGTGTTGAAGTCTAAATGGTGTTTCAAGAGAGGCACACAGAGCACAACTAAGATACAGCCACACACCAGAAGATAACAAGTGACATAGTGTGAATCTAATGAGTTTGATCTGGTGGATCTATAGTGCAAAATTCTTTCACAGTAAGAAAGGCCTCTTTAGTCCTTTGGGAGACAGAGCATTTAAGGAGTATCTGTAATACTGGAGACTGTAGTTCATCATAGCATCAGGAAAAAACCAGTTTGCAATGAGAAAACAGCTGAGGGATGCATTAAAAAGCTTCATTATTCCCAGCTCCTATAGAGTGAAGTGGAACATACTAATGGGAAATACAACTTACGTCTCATATATCTCAATGAGTTTCTGTGCTAGCGAGAGGTTCTTGCCCTCCAGGTACGTTGCCATTTCAGCTATGACCACAGCTGCACTTACACCATCTTTATCCAACACTGATGTGCCACACATGAAACCTAGAAATCAAGTTGATCATGAGAAAAGTAACCTCAGATACTACTGCACTGATTTACTTTATTGGCTTTTTAACCTTCTCCCTGTAAAAGAATATTGGCCAATGTACATAAACTGGTTTTATCACTGCATATGCATTCCCATTGTCTAAGAAAGCTAAATTAACTTAGGATTGTAGGGTTGGAAAGATAGGTGCTCTAACCAATTCATTCCAGATCAATAAGAGGTCAGTGCTAACCATAAAAATAAGCTTGTTTTGTGCAAGCACATCAATACTGCAAAGAGTCTTGTCAGTAATTAGAATCAATCAAGAGATACAGCCTTGGTAACCGCCAAATCAGTGCTCCTCACAAATGCCAGGATGCTTTCTTTGTGAAGGGGTGCATGAACAAGATCTTCAGTGTGTGCTTCAGCCTTCTAGTGCCTAAAGGGGCTGCAGGAAAGCTGGAGAGGAGCTTGGGACAAGGGCCTGTAGGGCCAGGCCAAGGGGAATGGCTTGAACCTGCCCGAGGGGAGACTGAGCTGAGCTCTTAGGCAGAAGCTCTTCCCTGTGAGGGTGCTGAGGCGCTGGCACAGGGTGCCCAGAGGAGCTGTGGCTGCCCCATCCCTGGCAGTGCTCAAGGCCAGGTTGGACACAGGGGCTTGGAGCAAGCTGCTCCAGGGGAAGGGGTCCCTGCCTGTGCTTGGGGCTGGAACGAGATGAGCTTTAACATCCCTTTCAACCCAAACCATGCTGTGATTCTACACTTCATTTTCAAATACCATATTATACATGAATATGATGTCCCAAAAGCTGCCATTTATCCTAAGTGGAGAATTCCCATAGCTGAAACATTCGCTACACAGTTCTCCATGGGTAAGTGGTGTCAGCAAGATTACCAAGATAGAGTGCTCCAGTCAAGGTCAGCAGGAATAGTCCCACACTTCCATAAGGTATGTAATGCTATTCCTGCACATGTCTGGATTCCTCTCACATTGTATGAGGGGACAGTGCACAGCTCCTGAAGGGGTTGCATTACAAGTGTGATGGGGAGTGTGACCAAAGCAAACCTCCTCCCAGTTCCACAGAGCCATTAGTAGTGAGTCCTCACTGACAGGACCTGGGAGATATTAAACTGATTAAGATTTGGGTGCTGGTTGATGAGAAAATGAACATGAGCCGGCTTCAGTGTGCGCTTGCAGACCAGAAAGCAACCGTATCCTGGGCTGCATCAAAAGGAGCGTGACCAGCAGGTCAAAGGAGGTGATCCTGCCCCTTTATTCTGCTCTCCTGAGACCTCACCTGGAGCATTGTGTGCAGTTCTGGGGTCCTCAACATAAAAAGGACATGGAGCTGTTGGAACAAGTCCAGAGGAGGGCACGAGAATGATCAGGGGACTGGAGCACCTCCTGTATGAAGACAGGCTGAGAAAGTTGGGGCTGTTGAGCCTGGAGAAGAGAAGCTGCGTGGAGACCTCAGAGCAGCTTCCAGTGTCTGAAGGGGGCCTATAGGGATGCTGGGGAGGGACTCTTCATTAGGGACTGCAGTGATAGGACAAGGGGTGATGGGTTCAGACTGAAACAGGGGAAGTTTAGATTGGATATAAGGAGGAAATTCTTTCCTGTTAGGGTGCTGAGGCACTGGAATGGGTTGCCCACGAAGGTTGTGAATGCTCCATCCCTGGCAGTGTTCAAGGCCAGGTTGGATGAGGCCTTGGGTGATATGGTTTAGAGCGAGGTGTTCCTGCCCATAGCAGGGGGGTTGCAACTCGATGATCTTAAGGTCCTTTCCAACCCTCACTATTCTATGGTTCTATGATTCTATGAAGAACAGTTCCTGTGCTTCACCTCAGCTAAATGACCACACAACAACAGTAGCTTGGCTCTGGCATCTCAGGACTTTCAAGCTGTACCAGTCGAGGCTTGTATCAGGAAACTGCACAAGTACAACACCAGAATCAGAGATTCATGTATCATTTATCTCATAGTTGGCAAACTGATTTGATGAGAGCAAAATATCAATACCAGTAACTACATGAACAGAAATAAAGTGCTTTTGATTTGTTTCATAGCTAAGACCACTTTTAGTCCCATTTACCCACACTTCTCAACATTTTAAAACAGTATGAACATATTTACCAATAGACTCTTCAAATGCAAAGAGAACTTCTTTCCCATTATCTAGGAGGTTTTTTACTCTACTTCCAATCCACTTAAATCCAGGGAGTGTTTCCTGAAACAGAAAAGATAAAGCATGTGTTAAATATATATTTTCAATTTAGTTTCAAGTCAAAGAAGAAGTGTATCCACTATTCCCATCACTTTTGGGCTGCTTCAGATGAGGGGGTAAGACATAAAGGAGAAAGGGGGAAAGACATAAAGGTGAAAGGGGGAAAAAGCCATCTCTTCAGTTTAGATGATAAATCTAAGGCAAAGAGTCACTGGATAACATTTTACTAGGGAATACTCAACTAGGACATGAGTATCAAATCAAGGAGTAAGTGTGCTTGAGAGACCATGGTTCAGTCTGAGATCAGAAATGATCTTCCATGGTGGTTTATCAGGTGAGACAGCAGCACAGAGTTACTCAAAAGGAAAAGTTCTACAAATACAAACAGCAATTTGGGGTGATGGAGGGAACAGCACTGCTGGTGCTCTTCAAATCATGCAAAAGCAGGCAGAATCTTAAGTCCTTCGTGGAGAGAAGGAAGGGGCAAGAAGAGAAGGCTACCTGGAAACCTCATAGCAGCCTTCCAATATCTGAAGGGGGCCTATGGGGATGCTGGGGATGGACTCTTCATTAGGGACTGTAGTGATAGGACAAGGGGTAATGGGTTAAAACTGAAAAAGGGGAAGTTTAGATTGGAAATAAGGAAGAAATTCTTTCCTGTGAGGGTGCTGAGGCACTGGAATGGGTTGCCCAGGGAGGTTGTGAATGCTCCATCCCTGGCAGTGTTTAAGGCCAGGTTGGACAGAGCCTTGGGTGCCATGGTTTAGTGTGAGGTGTCCCTGCCCATGGCAGGGGGGTTGGAACTGGATGAGCCTAAGGTCCTTTCCAACCCTAACTATTCTATGATTCTTTGATTCTATGATTTAGAGGAGACCAAGGGGTTCTGTAAATTCCTCATCCTTTTTTCAGTCAAATGTGTTCCTTTCCACAAAAGGAAAGGGATTTCGAGAGATACAGCAATTCAGTACAAGGCAGCAACATCCAACCTGCCTGAATACTGAATGTCCTCCCATGAGGGTGCTGAGGCGCTGGCACAGGGTGCCCAGAGAAGCTGTGGCTGCCCCATCCCTGGCAGTGCTCAAGGCCAGGTTGGACACAGGGGCTTGGAGCAAGCTGCTCCAGTGGAAGGGGTCCCTGCCTTTAAGCTCCTCCAGTTCCAACACAAACTAGTCTGGGATTCTATGATGAAGCTTATTTGGCCAGTCACTCAAAATGCATCTCACAGTTACTTTCCATCTTTGTTTTTCATTCCTCATTGTTTGGCAAAATGTTTTTTCCTACTACACATGGCTTTAATTTAGATAAGTATTAAAAACAAGCCCTGGATCTTTGCGTGTTTGTGTAAAGCTCTAGAGCACGCCCTGGATCTTCACATGTTTGTGTAAAGCTCTAGAGCACTTAAGTCTCCTATGACAGTCTCAGACATCAGAGCAAGGACATAATTTGAATGCAGGAAGTAAAATACAGTCACTGGGGACAGCCCCAATGCCTATTTTACCAAGTCCTTCATGAAACTACATTAAAAGGTCTGAACAAAGGAGCTCCTTTGTCTGTCACAGTCTGAAGGAAAACCTACTTGTAACCTGGGCACCTGAAGGAACATGGTGTAACCTCTAAGTGCTTGTTACAAAGCCATCAGAAAGCATTCCATTTGTGTAGGAAACACTGAGTTGCACAACTTTCATTCTCTCGCACAGAGGAATTTACCTCTAGGGAAATAACCATGACAAAAGTATTCCTATTTTATGTAGGTTAGGGTTTAACTTGTGTCACCTCTTACAGCCTCCTTGCAGGTGAGTTGAGAAGTTAATTTGATTTAAATGCAGGGAAATTCTGTCAAAAACCAGGAAAATGTCCTTAAATCTCACAGTCTGCAATCACTGTAACGTGCATTGAGATGTGCTGCAGATGTGGTAAATGCTCCATCCCTGGGAGTGTTCAAGGCCAGGCTGGACAGAGCTTTAGGTGCCATGGTTTAGTGCGAGGGATCCCTGCCCATGGCAGGGGGTTTGGAACTGGATGATTTTAAGGTCCTTTCCAACCCAAACCATTCTATGATTCTCCATGGAAATCAGACCTGTTCAGGTAAAACAAGCACTCTTTACACACTGGAATGTATATATAACTCCAAGCCAAAAGACTGGAAGTCATCTGTTTCTCCATTTCATAAAGTCAGAAGAGAAGGGAGCTAAATGGAGAACGTGGCAATGAGATTTTACTCATAAACCCCACACTTACTTCAAAGTGAAATCCTTCTTTAAGTGCAATTGCCCTCAGAATCTTTGAGGACACTGTGGTCGCCAACATGTAAATGTTCTTCACATCAGCATCTTCAGAGCAGTTTTCCTTCCAGCATGAGAACATCCACCACCCAAACAAAGCTGCTAGCTCATTGCCAGTGAACACCTTCCAGCACCCACTGCAGACAGGATACAAATGTCAGTGCTCATTCAAGGTTTCCCAGGAGCATCCACGCAGGGGGAGATGCTTCTGCAGGCACTGGAACAGGAATCTGAGTGCACTACTGATAAGCTGCTCTACACAAAGCCACCATATTAACAGGACTTCACGTCTCATGTCTCAATGACTGACAAGCCCAGTGCATTCTGTTAGCAAGTAAAGATACCATAATGAGTATCCTTACTGTCAGCTTTAGAATAGCTTAGACCTTTTTAGCTTATCAAACAGGAGTATAGCAATCTATACAGCCAATACTTGAGAGGCCAAGGGGAATGGCTTTAAACTGAAGGAGGGGAGGTAGGTTTAGGTTGGACACAAGCATGTTGTTCCCTGTGAGGGTGCTGAGGCGCTGGCACAGGGTGCCCAGAGAAGCTGTGGCTGCCCCATCCCTGGCAGTGCTCAAGGCCAGGTTGGACACAGGGGCTTGGAGCAAGCTGCTCCAGTGGAAGGGGTCCCTGCCCATGGCAGGGGGTTGGAACTGGAGAAGCTTTAAGCTCCCTTCCAACCCATTCCATGATTCTATACACTGCAGTCAGGTGTATTGCAGACAGCTACTTACACAGTGATCAGAATTTGGGCCTGCCAGTGGAAGAAAAATAGTTTCCATTCAATATGAAGCAGCCAGGGAAAAACAAAGAAACATAAAACCCCCAAGAGCTACAGTCCCAAGGCAGAAGGTTTGCCTAACAGAAGTGAAAATACAGCAACAACAAGATTTTGCTGTCTTCAGTAACCACTGAACAGTTTAATTTGGCCTTTTACTGTAACATGAATAGATCTGGTGAATGCTCCATCCCTGGCACTGTTCACAGCCAGGTTTGATAGGCCTCAATCAACCTGGTCTAGTAGGCATCCCTACCCATGGCAGGGGGTTGGAACTGGATGAGGTCCCTCCCAACCCAAACCAGTCTGGGATTTATGACATTCTGTGCCTTTTCACTACTACTTCTGCAGAAAGAGAGAAAAGAAATGATCCCATCACTTACTTCTCCTGCTGTTCCGCCACTGCTAGTCGATCTGCATCTGGATCAGTGGCCACTACTACCTTAGCACTTTCCTTCTCTGCAAGCCTCAGCGACAACTCCTGGTGGGAGAAGAGGGATGGGAAGAACAAAATCACAAGAGCAAATAAACCCAGTCTTCCTACTTCAATATTACATGCATATATAATCTCATACAGCTTGCCCACTGTATTAACTGAAAGCCAGGTACTCCCTGTTCTCTTCCTTGATTTTTCAATACTATCATACCCAAACAGAGGAAAGCTCATAGAAATCTGATGAAATAGAAACAAAAGTACCAGCACACATTCCCCTTCTTCAGGATTTGGGCATTTGACAGTGGAGAAGTCTGGATCTGGATCTTTTTGTTCAGGTACTGGAATGGGAGGCTGGAAGCCAAACGCTTTGAAAGCCAACTGCACGTAGTCATGTCCAACTCCATGAAAAGAGGTATGAACAAACTTCAGAGCTGTTTGCACATTCAGCTCCCTGAGGAGGAAAGAAGAATTTCAGGAAGATTTTAGTTATTCAACAAGATTCCTTTCATGTGGGAAAGCAAAAGCAAAAGGAAATGCAGTTACACTTTGCACTGTTCTGCTGATTCCTGCATTAATTTCAAAGGAGGAGCAAAGGAAAAGTGCTCATTTGGAGTTTCACTGGAAATGGCTGGTTGAAAGCTTCTTCCTCCAGAAAATGAGATATTCACCTTCTGCTGAATCAGCTGAAAGTCTCCCCAGAATGAACTGTTGGTTTCTGCATCAACCTCCAGCTCTTCCACCACCCTGAGGATCTTACTCTGGCTCTGCTCTACCTACATTATTATTCACCCTTTTATTCTCCTCTTCTGCCCCAGCCAACCTTTACAGTTCATCTTCGTATCTCTATTCCACACATGTACACCTTGTTGTGAACTGCACTGAGTTAGCCAGGTTCCTTTAACTGAGGTCTTTTGACTGGGTGGTCCTCCTTAGCATGAGTAGTAATGGGAAGTTGAAGTTGCTGGAGCTTTAGGATACAAGCAGGTAACTCCCACCTAAAGCTGAACTGAGTTTACAACCTGTGCTTATTTATGCAAAGGAAGGCCTTCAGCCCAGTGCAAACTGGAAGGTAAAGGAGTTACATCCATTAGCAAGGAGCACCAGAGGTAAGATGGCATTTATGGCCCATCTGGAGACAAGGAAAGAACCCAATGATGGATGAACTTTTGTCCTGGGTCCCTCCCTGGAGGCACCCACCTCAAGCTGCTCCTATGCCTGCATCATTCAGTTATTAAATGAGTTTTCTAAGTATCACATATCTGATACTGTGCTGTGGGAAACCTGAGGCACAGAATTTTCTGTCACAACCTCACTTTTACTCTGTGTTTCTCTTTGAGCACATTCATCTGTATCAAATGGTTCACATCAGGGTGCATTACTGTAGCACAGTGCGCAAAAGCAGGGTTCTTCATTAGCAAGTATGATTTAGGCCTAATGTTGGTGACCACTTAATCAGAGGAGGGATGGAGTAAGACAGAATGGGGAGAGGACCAGGAATTATTGCCCACACTGCGCAGAGCAATGGCCTCAAGCAGACAGTGATGTCTGTGGAAGTGGAGCACCCAGCTTCTGTGAACCATAAAGACACATCAAGTCACTGGTTTGGGACAATAAAAATCACTACAAGCAGGTCTGAAACTATTACAATTTGGGAAGACAGCCCAATCCCTATGCCCAAGTGAACAATGTTTCTGTATGGCAGCACTGCATGCTTTATTATTGAAGTCAGTTTTCCACATGGAACCCAAAGCTCCCTTAAAACCATCATTTAAGTACATTTTGCTTTATCCAGTACCTGTAATAACAGATCTTTTTCAGGTCCTCCATGTAACAGTCACAGATTTTCTTCAGAGGATCCTGTCTAAGGGGACTGGTATCTACTAGATTCTCATTCCAAGAGCCATTCCATGGTTCAACACACTCTTCTATGCACTTGATGATTTCCTTATCATGAGGAGAGGTGATCTGTGCTCCATTTTCCCAGTACACCTGGTGTAAGTTTAAAACAAGACAGTTTATTCACAAAGATTAACCTGATAAGTACTTTTAGCCATAGGATTCTGCTGACTTCCTTCTCCTTTAAGTCAGACAGGAAAGGGTAACATCAGACTGGCTTGATCCTCCAAAGTCATGTGGGATCACAGTTCAGCATTCCAGTTGTGCAACAACACAACCTGGTTTCCCAAAAGCTGGTATTCAGCTATTATGACTGAAATCATGAGGACGTGAGAAACCAAAACCAGGCACTTAAGAGTGCAGTGTTGTGCAAACTGAACAGAAACAATCCATTACCTTCCTCATCGTCTGGCATTCCTTTCATAAAGAGACACAACTTGGGTTGGAAATCGAAGCCAAGCAGATAAGCAGTGTGCCAAGGTACAGGGTTTTCTGTATCTGAACAACTGGAAACCCTGAGCTATGAAAAGTCTTTGTTAAAGAACGATTTAGATGCCAGTTTTCACACAGTTGGTTGCCAATAGCACAGTTGAGTTCACAGAGCAGATCAATTTGTCTCTTTACTCAGTGCCTTTGAAACTATGGCTTGGTCATGTTTGGTTAAAGTTGTCCAAAGCCTTTAGAAGCTGCTGGATTCATAGGGGAAATAGTGACAGCTAAGACTAGGATAAAATCCAATATCCTGACATAAGTGCTTTGTATCAGAGACACAAACATAAGAGCTTCTTGATAAATGAAACACCTGGAAAATAAAAGTGTCTCATTCATCACTATTCTATGATTCCATTTTCTTTTTCATTGCTATAGCTAAGCAAAGGCTGCTGAAGCAACTTGTTCCACAGAGGATAAATGCAGTACAAGCACATCCAAGGGTTATCAGTGTGCAGAAGAAGGCTGGGTTTTCTATCCTTGCCATTACTCACTGACTTGATGCTTTTAGAAGGCTAAGTTTAGATAGAGTTTAGTTCAGATTCATATAAAGTTTGGAACAAAAATACTGTTACAACACTGCATAAGCAGCTTTTACTATCACGGATGGCTACAGTGCTCCCAGCTTTCAAAATGAAGGCACCCACCTTTCTCTCAATGCCCAGAAAAACAACCTTAGAGGGAGCAACACAGTCTTAAACAGTCACCATCTTCATTACAATCACTTACTGTGTGGGTTAATCCACCTAAGTTCGAGCTTAGTTTCAAACTCATTGTTAAGTCTAAGAAGTGAACACATTCCTCCAGCTGCTGATTTGACTCTATGGAATGTCACAACAAACTTGTGCTCAAGAAACACAAGCAGTGTGTTCCAGGTGCAAAAGAAAGCATGTGTAATTCATTTCTCCTTCTAACCTACACATACATGTGTTCCAAAGGAAGACTCTTCCCTGTGAGGGTGCTGAGGTGCTGGCATAGGGTGCCCCCAGGAGCTGTGGCTGCCCCATCCCTGGCAGTGCTCAGGGCCAGGTTGGACACAGGGGCTTGGAGCAAGCTGCTCCAGTGGAAGGGGTCCCTGCCCATTGCAGGGGGCTGGAACTGGAAGAGCTTTAATGTCCAACTCAAACCAGTCCACAATCCTGTGCTAAGCCAAATGCCCAAAGCAGGTAACATGGAAGAGCAGCTGGCTGTGACATGCTACAGACTTCAAGCCTTACCTTGTACCCGTTGTCCTCCTTCCGGTTGTGGGATGCTGTGATCATCACACCAGCCACAGCATTGAGCTGCTGAACAGCATAGGGCTACAAAGGAAACCCAGAAACATTGATTTAGTCAAGAACTCTGCAGCTAGAATGGCACAATATCATTGTATTATTAGGAGAGTTACACAACAGGACGCTACAGAAGTGGCTCTTAACATTTCACCAGGTGATTTGAAACTGTATATGTGAATGCTCATCATTCTCTTTCCTGTAGTTAATACAGAAAGTTGTTGCATAGGAACATTATTCCATTTACTAACTACACAAAAACAATTGTTAACTGACCAAATAAAAGCCTACACTCAGATTACACTAGGACTGAAGAGAAAATGGGTCGAAATAGAAAGAAGGAATTCACCAAAGGGCTTGTGGAAAAACAAGTGACAGGTACTTTAGGCTAAAGAGCACTCAGTTCTTTTGAAACAAGATCCACAATACACCAGAACAGCTTGCAGAATAGAAAACAGGGCAAAACGTGATTCTATTGACTATGTGCATGCAGGAGAAATCAGCACCATGCTTGTTACAGCCTCCCTCAGAAGGATCTAGACAGGCTGGAGAGATGGGCAGAGAAATTCAATGAAGTGCATGGTCCTGACCTTGGGGAGGAATAAACCCTGGCACCAGCACAGGCTGGGGCCTGACCTGTTGAGAAGCAGCTCTGTAGAGAGGGGCTTGGGACCTGATGGACACCAGGTTGTCCATGAGCCAGCAATGGGACACTGAGATCAAGATGGTCAACAGTGTCCCAGACTGCATCATATAGAGCATTGCTGGCAAGTTGAGGGTGCTGATCCTCCCCTCTGCTCAGCCCTGCTGAGGCCTCCCCCAGAGCACTGTGTCTGGGGTGTCCAGTATGAGAGACCTAGAGCAAGTCCTGCAAAAGGCTGTAAGAATGATGAAGGGTCTGGAGCATCTCTCCTATGAGGAAAGGCTGTAGGAGCTGGGCCTCTTCAGCCTGGAGAAGAGAGGGCTCAGGGGGATCTGATCAATGTGTCCAAGTACCTGAAGGGAGGGTGGCAAGAGAATGGAGCCAGACTCTTCTCAGTGGTGCCAGTAATGGGATGAGAGGTGACAGGCTTAAACTAAACCACAGGAAGCTCTCCCTGAACATGAGGAAGAACTTGTTCACTGTGAGGGTGACTGAGCACTGGAATAGGTTGCTCAGAGAGGTTGTGGAGTCTCCTCTGGAGTTATTTAGGAACTGCCTGGATGCAATCCTGAGCAATGTGCTCTGGGTGACCCTGCTGAAGCAGGGAGCCTGGCCTAGATGCCCTCCATCCTCAACCATTGGCTGATTTTGTACCAAGCAGCCTCTATTTTCTGTTTAAATAATGGGATTTGATAAAAATCACTAGTTTGCACTTTTAGTGACCTTTCAAGGACTCCCTTACCTGCAGGGTTCAACAATATAGCAAAGAAGATGACTTACCACAAACGGAGTAGGGACATAGGTGGAGAAGAAGTACACAGGTACATCCTTAGCCAGCAGGACTGCAGCAGTGAGCTTTGCAAGTCTATCAACAGGAAGAAGAAAGCATTCAGTCAACCCAACTCCCCAAAACACTCTAGCAGCCATTTGTGTAACCTTCATTTCACTTGTTTGTTAAATCCCCCTGTTGTTTTCTGGCTTACACCAAGAGTAGTGCCCCATAGCTTGTAGAGTTGATGTAATGCAGTCTTCAGGTTATAGAATCCAAGTCAGTGCTTTTAGTCATCGCTTGAACAGCACAAGGCACACCAGTCAACCACATAAATAAATCAGTGCTATCAAAACCTCTTGGTGTGACTCCTGTCCTTCATTCAAGGACAGAACCAATCTACCAGAAAGTCTGAAGCGCCAGATGTCCACAACAGCAGGTTTGGGAAAGGATTCAGCATCCTATACAGCAAAGCTGGTTTGCCAGCCTTGTTCAGCAGCTTCAGACAATACCCATGAGGAGATCTCTTCTTAAACATACTTCTGCAAAGCAGTACACTTTTACTCAGAAAAGGTTAGAAACAGTAACACCAACTCTTGGTTTAAGCTGCCTTTATAATAAGCTTTTCCTCTTAAGGAGCAGGGAAATCCATTCTCTTCCAGGCACCTCATATGAAGCTGTTCTGTTCAGATACACACAGCTCAGCAGTTAACAGGAAGTCTCAGAATCAACATAGGCAAGGGATTAAACAGTGTAAGTTTGCTTTGCTCACTTGTCATGGGAGATAAGGAAGCAAGTATTAATGCTTGTCTGTATACACAAGCATAGTGTAGGCTAAGTTTCAGTGACTCAGAATTTCACTGTGGCACCTATCAGATATCACGTGAATATACTTCAAAGAGTTTGAGAGCTCAGGTTGTAGCTGAAGCTACTGACATTTTGCTCCTGTAGCACGATGGTTTACATCAACTTAATTACAGGATACAGTCAGACAGTCTGACATCTCCATCAGCACTGGAGCTATTGCAAAGAAAGGAGCACTGCTGCTCACATAGTGCTGGATAAACACACTGAGCCAACTGAAACCCCCCTTGTGGGGAGGTTCACTTTGATTTCAGCACTACTGGGACTCTGTGTCATCCCAAGGGGACAAAAGAAACACATAGCTGAGAAGGGACTGATTCTTGAAACATGGACTACAACGGCGCTGCCATCAGATCTGAATTCCAAGCTCTGCGTGGCTGAAAAGGAATGTTTTTTCTTGCACTTCCACATTTTTAAGCTGTGCATTTCCCATTTTAAGCTGTGCATAACCCAGATGATTTAGGTAATAACCTTGCAAACACAGTGTAACAGAGGAAAAAAACACTCTGCCAAAGCCTGGCTGCTAACACACCACACATTGTGATGACCAGGGTGGAGAGGAATCTCTAAGACAGACAGTAGATTCTGTGCTCTATTGCACTCCATCCCTGCAATATTAAATGCTGACAAGCATTAAATATCCCAAATTACATTAGTTACAACAATTAGACACAGTAACTACATTAACTCCAACAATTAGTTAGCTAATGGGTTGGGTTTGGTGAGAAACATCATTCAGGGAGCAAAACACATGTTGTAATCGCAATGGGATTAGGATTCCTTAGAGGATTCAGAAAGCGGTTCTTTTATAGACCCACTCTCCCCTTTCCTTGCAAAAGGCACGTTTCAGCATCACTGGAAGTTTACATTTCAAGCATTCCAAGTAAAATATTCCCAGTGTGGAACTGGGATCACAGACGAAAATAAAGGTTCCAAGGCAGAACTATTCTCCCCAAAGCAAGCTTGAATCAGATGTTAAATGTTTTCAATAGTGTACTAACATTTAGTGATTTCAAGTTAGATGTTAGTACTTAGAATCTACCTTCACATTCAGATTTCCCTCCAGGCATATTAACTTCTTAATGTCTGCCTAATGGTCTTGGGCATTTAGATTGTAAATTCTTTGGTGAAGGGACTAGTTTATATGCCACATGTTTTGTGTTTTTGGGGGGTGTGGGTGGGGGTTTTGTGGTGTGGGGGGTGGGTTGGGGGTGTTTTTGTGGGTGGTGGGGTGGGGGGTTGTGGGTTTTTTGGGTTGTGGTTGTGTTTTTGGTGTTTGTGGGGGGTTGGTGTGTTTTGGGTTTTTTTTGTGTTGTGTTGCTGACAAGGTATTATAAAGGCTTTAGTCCATGCATCTCTTCCTTACTACTTCAATGGACTAAGGGAGGGGAAGGTGTGTGTAGCTGATGACACAAATACTCTGATAGAACGCATTTAAAAGCACAATTTAATGTCTAGTCTTGCAAATGTAATCAATACTCATACTTCTTACTGCTGCAGTTGCTGGTCACCTGACCTCGTGTGTCATATCCAACAACAAAGCCTCTCTGCTTAAAGTCTGAGAAACACCTCTCAAGATACTTGTAGATCCCCTGGAAAGAGAGAAGAGAAGAGGTTGGCAAGAATCAGCTCCAGTGCAGCACACACAAAGGTTATAAAGGACCTTCCATGTGGGATGGAGAACATCAGTAGGCAAAACCCAGCCCAGCTAAAACATCAATCATGCTATTCATGAAAGCAGCATCATTTTTTCCCCAATGTTCACAGAAAGAAAGAAATCAGAGGAAAAACAGGGAAATAAACCCCACACAACACTAAGTGACCTGACAGCATTAGCAGAAAGCTGGAACCAGCAAAACCCTCAAGCAGTAAATACTTGTTTCCTGTCCTTCCTGTGCTTTTATGTATTCAAATCATCTTGGAGACCTAATTGAGGGTAATCCACATTTTGAAAGCCTGTCCATTGTGGCAATGTTAGGCCAGTGCCAGGCAGTGCTAATCTTTATCCTTCTGCTCACAGTACAAGTCAAGCACCTTTCCATTACCATTCCAAACCATTAGCTCTAAATCTGCATTAAAAGGATGCTTCATCCTCACCCACCTCCTCAACCAAAGGTTTATTATTAGTGACTTCCTCCAGGTGGACAGACTGAAGTCCTCAATGTATATACTATGCAGAAAAACCAGTAAAAATCCAAACTGCCTTCTCTCCATCAAGGCAGAACATTTCCCATGGAGAGGCATCAGAGATCAGCCCCATGCAAGGAGAAGAACAGGGAGCAGATTTGTAAAACACATTGGGGGTGAGGAGAAATATGTGCTGAAACATACACAGGGAAAACCAAAGAGCCCCTTGGTCAGCTACCTCTCTACCAAAGGGGAAGAGATAGATGCTCTTTGGGATCATGGAATCATAGGTTAGATATGGTTGGAAAGGACCTTGAGATCATCCAGCCCCAACCCCTGCCACATGCAGGGACCCCTTCCACTGGAGCAGCTTGCTCCAAGCCCCTGTGTCCAACCTGGCCTTGAGCACTGCCAGGGATGGGGCAGCCACAGCTTCTCTGGGCACCCTGTGCCAGCGCCTCAGCACCCTCACAGGGAAGAGCTTCTGCCTTATCTCCAACCTGAGCTTCCCCTGTTTCAGTCTGAACCCATCACCCCTTGTCCTATCACTGCAGTCCCTAATGAAGAGTCCCTCCCCAGCATCCTTGCAGCCCCCTTCAGACACTGGAAGCTGCTCCAAGGTCTCCACACAGCTTCTCCAGGCCCAACAGCCCCAGCTTGCTCAGCCCATCAACAGCTCATTACATGATGTTCTGGCTTCACCTTTCCTGTGGCCTTCAAGTCCATTAGTTTCCCAGTTAGAATCTCTCTGGAGATCCATCACAGACACAACCTAGCATGGATCAGCAGCTTAAGACAAAAGGGCACTGGTGTTAATGGAAGCTTCCAGAGGCTACAGTTCACTACAACCAGAACACAGCTCTAACACAAATACAGTGCTGTGAACACACCACAGCCAATAGCATCATCAAGTCAGTTCTTGTGAGGGCCAGTTTCCTCCTGACACAACGAAGGTGTGTTCTGCAGTGGAATTAAACAGGTTTCCCTCCAAAGTTAAGTGCAATGCACCCAATCTGGATGTGATCTGATGTGGAGCCAGGCTGAGAGAGCTGGGCTGGGGCAGCCTGGAGAAGAGAAGGCTCCTGAAGGGGAGACCTTAGAGCAGCTCCAGTGCCTAAAGGGGCTGCAGGAAAGCTGGAGAGGGGCTTGGGACAAGGGCCTGTAGGGCCAGGCCAAGGGGAATGGCTTGAACCTGCCCGAGGGGAGACTGAGCTGAGCTCTTAGGCAGAAACTCTTCCCTGTGAGGGTGCTGAGGCGCTGGCACAGGGTGCCCAGAGAAGCTGTGGCTGCCCCATCCCTGGCAGTGCTCAAGGCCAGGTTGGACACAGGGGCTTGGAGCAAGCTGCTCCAGTGGAAGGGGTCCCTGCCTGTGGCAGGGGTTGGAGCTGGAGGAGCTTTCAGCTCCCTTCATCCCAAACCAGTCTGGGATTCAGTGATCATCAATGAGCAATCTCTGAGCTGGAAAGCCAGACTGACTCCTCATGACATTCAATGAGCTCAATGTATTTAGTGTTTCTTGCGTTTTCCCCACAGAACGTGCTTCAAAGCAGGAAGAACTCAATACTGGCATCTCTCTGGAGAATTATGTCAGCTGCAGATGTCTATAGAGGGATTCAGACAGAGAAAAAACTTTAAAATCAATACAAATCCTGCACAGGGACAGAAGTGGAAAGCGCCAGTGCACAATCAGCAGCTGAAGTCACCTTCACACTTAACTGAACTGTGTTGACACAAACACACATTCACCCTGCCCTACAACCGACCAAGAACTTTCATTCACAACTGTAAAGAGACAAGAGATAGAGGAACGGAGAAAACTTGATCGAGTTTGACTTGAACACACTGAATAACATGTAAAGAGATGAAGAGCAGATGAGGAGGAACAGGTGATGATGGGGAACAACCAAGGGACCTAGGGGGTTCAGTGTGGAGAAGGCTCAGTGGGGACCTGATGGCTGCCTCCAAGTGCCTGAGAGGAGGATGGAGCCAGGAGGGGCTGGGCTCTGCTCCCAAGGAACAAGGGATGGGACAAGAGGAACCGGCCTCAAGCTGCACCAGGGCAGGTTTAGATGGAGCTGAGGAGCAACTCCTGCCCCAGAGGGTGCTCAGGCATTGGAACAGGCTGCCCAGGGCAGGGCTGCAGGCACCGGCCCTGCAAGGGTTCACACCCCGTGGAGACGAGGCCTCAGTGCCATGGGGCAGTGGTGGACTTGGCAGTGCTGGGAAGGGTTGGACTGGATGAGCTTAAAGGGCTTTTCCAACCTCATTGATTCTGATTTTATTCTACAATTCTATGATTCCCCTATATAAGATTCACAAAGAGAGATCTATAGTTTGCTTCTCCAGGTATGAATAATCCTCTTGTATGTCCAATTGCTCAGGATGCATTTCAAAAGAGAAGTGAGGGGAAAGTGATGTTATCACGAATGGGATAGAAAGATTTGGGGTTGATGAAATCATAAAGCTGTTACTGTCTCTCTTGAAGCCCAGAATTAAAATGTTTCAACTCTTATCTTCATCTTTGCTTATACAGCCAGAAGAAATGATGCAAAGATGACTGGTTTTATCACTGTGGGGGTCAGTGACTGGTTACTCACCCAGTAGGAGACACAACTGGTTCAGTGGGGCAGAAACAATACATGAGCAGGAGAATCAAGGCTTTATGTGTAGGTTACATCCCTACAACCTTCAAAAGGAAAAGTCATTCAAAAGCAGCTTGTGAATACCCTGTACCTTTCTGGATCTGACTTAGTGACATCAATATAATCATGCAAGGACACACCACGTGCCTAAGCATGCACCTGAACTAAGATTTAACTGAAGGGAATGCTTTGATTTCACTGAAATCTCCTTGTTTTGAACAGCCTGGAACAGCACAAATAGAGCCAAGGTTGTCCATTTTCACACGAGGTTCAGACAAACTGTTAATGTCATCAGCTTCTGAAGCAAGAGTACTCAAACAAAGAGATTCAATCTGATGCAGTTGACTTCAGAAACACGTCCTCATCCGCTTCTCAGTCTTGACTGATGAACAACCAAAACCAGAAGCTCTAGAGAGGGAGCAAAGGAATTCAGCCCAGATTGTTACCTTCAGAAACCAGGATTGCCCATGAAGCTGAACTCACAAACACATTCCCTGCTGACCAAAATGAACCTTTCCCTTTCTGCCAAGAATGTTGCACTTGGGCAACCCAAGTTCAGTCACGCTTCCACAAGACTGGAAACAAAGGCAGCATGCAATGTCCAGGAGATCAGAGCAGGAGCAACTCCAGCTTCAGCCTGCACAAGGCAAGAATTGACTTACTTCTTTTGTGTTAACAAGACATTCTTCCACATGGCTGCATCAAAAGGAGCAGGAGCAGCAGGTCAAGGGAGGGGATCCTGCCCCTCTACTCCTCTCTGGGGAGACCCCCTCTGCAGCCCTGATCCAGCTCTGGGGCAGCAGCACAAGAGGGACGTGGAGCTGTGGGAGCAAGCCCAGAGGAGGCCATGGAGCTGCTGCGAGGGCTGGAGCAGCTCTGCTCTGGAGCCAGGCTGAGAGAGCTGGGCTGGGGCAGCCTGGAGAAGAGAAGGCTCCTGAAGGGGAGACCTGAGAGCAGCTCCAGTGCCTAAAGGGGCTGCAGGAAAGCTGGAGAGGGGCTTGGGACAAGGGCCTGTAGGGCCAGGCCAAGGGGAATGGCTTGAACCTGCCCGAGGGGAGACTGAGCTGAGCTCTTAGGCAGAAGCTCTTCCCTGTGAGGGTGCTGAGGCGCTGGCACAGGGTGCCCAGAGAAGCTGTGGCTGCCCCATCCCTGGCAGTGCTCAAGGCCAGGTTGGACACAGGGGCTTGGAGCAAGCTGCTCCAGTGGAAGGGGTCCCTGCCCGTGGCAGGGGTTGGGACTGGATGAGCTTTAAGATCCTTCCAGCACAAACCAGGCTGCGACTCCATGAACACTAAAGGTGGGAAGAGATGTTTAACTATATTTCATACACACAGTACAAAGCCATTTGTATTTTATATGCTCATAAGAAAAGGAACCACAGAACATCCATTTTCTGACTCATGCTATTTGTTCTCAAAAGGATTCAACACTTGTCTGTTTGCCTCCCACCACCTTCACTGCAGTGAGACAAAGCTGCATTTTGCAGATTATTAAGCAAAAAGCATTCTGAGTCTTATTTACCATCATAAAGTACATGCAAGAATGCCTATCACAGTCAGGAATGAGAGTTTAACAGAACTACAACCCTAGATAAATCAATGTTCATATTCAGACTCTTTCAAGTGCTCATGGTCTGGATAATATCACACCAATTTCCAATGTACTCTGAATTTATTTCTCATACAGGTTAGAGTATTGAATGTACTTGTTCTGAGGAAAAACTGATAGAGGAATACATCAACTGAGAACAGCCTGGTACTGTATAAGCAGCAAATATAAGAACACATCCACTATGAGACAGCAATATAGAAAAGGAACATGGACCATTTGTGATCAAAACATCAAGTGCTCCTTCCAAAGGTGTTTAATGAAAAGGTGGGGAAGAAATGAGAAAACTGGGGACCTTTGAGGAAGAACAGATCATCCAACCTTGAGCAAAACAGTGCTTCAAAGAAAGGCAGAGACCATGAAGCCTTATGTTAATCAATGGGTTGATTTATCCAGGCCATCAACACACGTATAACTCATTAACACTGCTTGAAAGAGAAGCAGGGAGAGAAATGGAGAAGGGTGCCATCATTTCCCAGCCCTCTTTGGCATGCAAGACCAAAATCAAGAGAGGGAAACACTGAGGGTAGAAGCCATTGAAGAAACACATCCAGAGACTTTATTTCTGTTTGTTATCAACTTAAACCACCAGTCAAAAGAATCTGTGATATGATTCAAGGAAAAGATGTGTCCAAAGTGAGGAGTCTCTGCCACCAGTCTTCCCCACAACAGCACTGGTGCCACTCATGACTCCATAGCAGCTTCTCTCCAGCTCCTCAGCTCTCTGTTATCAACTATTATGTCCTTCTAGATGGACATCCAGCACCACCAGCAAGCAGAGCTTAATCTCTGGCGGAGAAAATTGGGATTCAAGTTCCCCTGGCCACACCAAACCCATCAGACCCTTTCCAACAGCACTAACAGAAGACTATGAAAACGGCAGTCAGGTGATACATCTAAGTTCCAAGATCTCCTTGTCTGTATTTGAATCAGGAAGCCCATCCCATAATACCGTACTCCAAACTACAAAGAACTAGTCCTCAAAGACAGCAACATCCATTTACAATGTTTTCCTTAGCAAATAATTCTATGGTGATGTCTCTAACCCACATACACAGCTATTAAATCATAGATAAGCCCTGAATTAGCCCTCTCTGATACTATCTGTAACATAAGATTTGCTGTTTGAGAGTTTAAATACGTATCTCAAATTACCTTCTTGCATCTCCAGTTTAAGAAGTGCCAAGAGCCACAGGGAGACTACAGTCATGGCACTGCACTTCACCCCAGTATTTTCTACAACCCATGTAACTGGAAGGATTCCCTGGAAGTTAAACAATTTACAAGAGAGATGCTCTTCACATTTGCTTTTTCATCTTGCTTCTTGTTCATTTTCTTGGTAAAACCTCCTTTTTTTCCATATAGTTATGAATAGCTTTAGCTAAAAATGAAAGAAAAGGCTTGTTTGCTTGGGGTTGGGTTTGCTTTTGGGTTTTCTTGATGGGCTTTTGCTTAGTTTTCTTACAAACATGCAAAGTTCTTATGACAGCCACTCATTTCTCCAGCTACAAAGCAGCACAACAGGCCATAAATAATATAACTGGCCATTCCACTGATCAAATCCCAGTGGAAGGGATTATATTCTGCCTCCTCATGTGCCCAGTTAAGCCTGTTCGAGCTATTTTCTTTCAGTGCTAACCACACCGCGCTATCACTCTTCTATTGAATGCTTGCTGTGTTTCACCCTCAGCTTGTGTTTCAGCAGTACACTACATGCCCCAAACACTGAGAGACCATTCAGTCCTCTCCCACACAGCTACTCAGCTTACCTGTGTGGACTGGATCACTGTAAGATCATTGATGTAGCAGAAGCCAGCTCCCATGGCAGAGCGAAGCCCGGCGGTCCCAAAGGTCAGCCTGCAGCAGAGGCGATCCCGCAGCTCTTTGTGCTTCCCATTCTGTAACAAGTTCTCAATCTGTTCTTTAGTTTTCTGGTTCTGAAAAAGAAGATGGAGATCCTCATTTAGTTCTTGAAAGCAGGATGTGAACTATACACTCAGTGGGGTTAAATCATCCCTAGCTCTGCAGCGCAGCAGGTACTTCCTATGCTATAAAATGCCCATCTGCACAAACTCACCTTCGTTGTAGCATTCACTTCTAGCACAGAAACCCAGATTGGTTTGGGTTGAAGGGACCTTAAAGCTCCTCCAGCTCCAACCCCTGCCACAGGCAGGGACCCCTTCCACTGGAGCAGCTTGCTCCAAGCCCCTGTGTCCAACCTGGCCTTGAGCACTGCCAGGGATGGGGCAGCCACAGCTTCTCTGGGCACCCTGTGCCAGCGCCTCAGCACCCTCACAGGGAAGAGCTTCTGCCTTATCTCCAACCTGAGCTTCCCCTGTTTCAGTCTGAACCCATCACCCCTTGTCCTATCACTGCAGTCCCTGATGAAGAGTCCCTCCCCAGCATCCTTGCAGCCCCCTTCAGACACTGGAAGCTGCTCTGAGGTCTCCACGCAGCTTCTCTTCTCCAGGCTCAACCTCCTCCTTATTTATAAAGGCTTCAGGAGCTCTTGCTGCACCTGTATGCTGATGCGTTTGCCCAGCTGCTAATACACCTTCCAGCTACACGAAGCCTGGAAATGGGAAGCACAGACATCAGAAGAGATTCTTCCCAACGCAGGTCCCACCAGCTCATTCTGTGCTGCTGGCAGACAGACAAGAATCCTGACTTCAAAGCATCATTTCCTTCCTTCCCAGTGCAGATGTCTGTCAACAGGCACAGTAAGAGCAAGCTGACATTGTAAAACCAGAAATGAAGCTTGTCTTTTCAAGTTACATCAGTTGTTAGGGAGGTGAAGACAAGAGAGTGAAAGCTCCTATTGATCACAGCTGTCCAATAAAGACGGGTGCTTCTCTCTGAGAAAGACCCAGATGCTTGGGATACTTGCCCTGCTCAGGAGGCAAAGGGAAACACCAGTAGCTACTACTCCTGAAGGGAAGTATTGCATGCCCCAGTGTAACAGCCACTTTCACAACCCTCCAAACTGAACATTTTTAACTTTATTTACAAAGACATCAAGAATTTTGTCAGTAAAATGCAGGGAATTAAACCAAACTTTTCCAATTACTTCTAAGTTGAGAAAGAATCCATTTTCCACACAGTCCATAACACAGCGACTAAAGAAAGAATTATCCAAAACAGTCCTTGGATTTCTCCTGCTGAGGGAGTCAAGTCACATATTGACAGTCTCATGGCTCATGTGCAAGCCTCAGAGACATTCTCCCTTTCTGGTATCATTGTTAGTGGCTCTTACACCTCTTCACCTACACTTGCATAGCTTATTCCAGCCAAAAGCCCTGTGGTGCTGTTTGTACAGCAGGTATCGTGGTGGGGACTTGCAAGAGGCTGTACCAGCTCAGGCCAAGGGTTGGTTAGTCCAGAGCCCTGACAGCAGCTGTCAGCAGATGCCAAAACACAGGAACTTCCATAGCAGCCTTCCAGTATCTGAATGGGGCCTACAGGGATGCTGGGGATGGGCTCTTCATCAGGGACTGCAGTGATAGGACAAGGGGTGATGGGTTCAAACTGAAATAGGGGAAGTTTAGATTGGATATAAGGAGGAAGTTCTTTACTGTGAGGGTGCTGAGGCACTGGAATGGGTTGTCCAGGGAAGCTGTGAATGCTCCATCCCTGGCAGTGTTCAAGGCCAGGTTGGACAGAGCCTTGGGTGCCATGGTTTACTGTGAGGTGTCCCTGCCCATGGCATGGGGTTGGAACTGGGTGATCTTAAGGTCCTTTCCAATCCAAACCATTCTATGATTCTGTGAATAAGGGCAGCATAACCATGGCAGGAAGCTTGACAAAGATGTAAGGGTGATCTCAGGATTGCCTACACAGGATGATCCTTACCTGCACAGCAGAAGGGATATGAACACGCCAAGTCAGGACAGAACACTGCTGTCATCCCTTACCTTTATCATCTAAAACCCATGACTAAAATGGATGGCCAGTGGACAAGGAAGAAGTCTGTCTAAAGAGAAGAGCAGGAAGCAATTCTTGTGACCCAAAACCTACTCCACCTTAGAGCCACTTAGATTCTTCCATAAATGCAATGCTTGCCATTTCCATGCATAGAGAACACATTTTCTCTCATACACAATGCAGCTGAGGGGGTGATTATACACGCCTGAAAGGCTTAATTCAAGTAGTTACCTTAAGGTAGGAAACACTACAACCCTATGTTTTCAAGTCACCCGTATGCAATGCACAGTGTGTTCTGTAGCAGGATACCAACACTGATTAGATTATCAGTGTTTTCATGAACTCTCATCACTGTCAAAGCTGTGAACTTCCCAATGTACACACTGCAAATACAGACTGGGAATCAGATCTCATCAAGCTCTTCCCTGTGAGGGTGCTGAGGCGCTGGCACAGGGTGCCCAGAAAAGCTGTGGCTGCCCCATCCCTGGCAGTGCTCAAGGCCAGGTTGGACACAGGGGCTTGGAGCAAGCTGCTCCAGTGGAAGGGGTCCCTGCCTGTGGCAGGGGCTGGAGCCGGAGGAGCTTTAAGCTCCCTTCCAAACCAAGCCTGTCTGTCACTCTATGATTCACAGTTATTCAGCTGATATTGAGACTAGGAAACAATGAGATATAATAGGGAAAGCTTACTATTACCCATGATGATTAGAATTAGACAGTCATGCTTATACCCACAGCATCATCCTGGACATGCCCAGGGCGGGACCTAAGGGACAGCAAGAGAAAGTTTGACACAAAAAAACCCCCACCAAACCACAGTAACAGAAGAGCATTGATGTGTGCCCTTTTACAACAGGTACTAACAGGGAGTGACTCACCCCTAGGATGCTGTTTTGGGAGATGCTGTTTGGATGAGTAAGGACTCATATTAAAAGGGCAGCGGAGCTGGTGCAGGGCCTGGAGCCCAAGTGTGATGGGGAAGGGCTGAGGGACCTGGGGGGTTCAGATGGAGAAGAGAAGGCTCAGGGGGGACCTGATGGCTGCCTCCAAGTGCCTGAGAGGAGGATGGAGCCAGGAGGGGCTGGGCTCTGCTCCCAAGGAACAAGGGATGGGACAAGAGGAACCGGCCTCAAGCTGCACCAGGGCAGGTTTAGATGGAGCTGAGGACCAATTCCTGCCCCAGAGGGTGCTCAGGCATTGGAACAGGCTGCCCAGGGCAGGGCTGCAGGCACCGGCCCTGCAAGGGTTCACACCCCGTGGAGACGAGGCCTCAGTGCCATGGGGCAGTGGTGGCCTTGGCAGTGCTGGGAATGGTTGGACTGGATGAGCTGAAAGGGCTCTTCCAACCTGGTTGATTCCACAATTCAATAATCTATAGCACAGGGATTCTGAAGGCTCTGTGAATTCATTTGGTTATCAAGAAACTGCTGCCATCCACTTTGGATGGGACATCTCCCAGGTCCTATAAACACAGCACAACCCAGGCAGACTTGCTGACAACACAGAGGATGCAGCAGATCACCAACACACAGCTGTACAAAGCAGTGACTCCAGTCGTGTAACAGCACAAGCGCTTCTCTAAACCAGTGCTCCTTCAAGCAGGATCCCAAGGAAAGGTTAAAACAGCAAAGGGAATGTGAATGGCAAAGGTGGAGCACCCTGACATTTAAAATAGAGGTCAGCCAGCTCCAGCTCAGGCACTGCCTGCCCCAGGGCAGCCTCTGCAGCACTGGAAACAGGGAGGATCTGCAGGAGGAATGGGAAAACACCATGAGGAGAGCTGCACACTTGGAGGAGGAAAAGAAGACTCAGTGCAGCTTGTTGTCAACTCAGAAGCTACCTCCACAGCCTGATAACAGACCATGAGCACCAACGGGAGGGGACACGGGTGAACAGAAACCATGTTGGTTCACACTTCAGATGGCTCCGAACCCAAACCCATCACTCACAACCCAGCTGGAAAATGGACTACAAATGAAGCAAACCCAGCAAGGCACATCAAATACTCAATCCCAGAAGGAAAAGCTTCACTTTCAGTGTTCAGGAACAGCCAACCAGAACACAAATGATGAATGCGAAGAGAAACAGAGGCAAAAGGACACAAAAACTTCATTTCACACTATTATAATTCCATACTTTGTTTTGCTTTAAAATAAGGGCTGTTAAATGACACAACATCTTTGATGGGTTTTTGGATACGCTGCATTGCTTGTCTGCAAACACAGAGTAAAGTGGAGTATATGAGAGTTTATGGCCCGGAGTTCTGCAGGACTGAGGCAAGAGGTTATTGAAACATTTCTTTTACAAATAGATTAACATGCATTTTTTAATAAAGTCACCTTATTTATTTCCAAAGGGAAGAAAATCAGCCACAGGAGCATCCAACTAGCACTGAATTTGCTGCGTGGAGACCTCTGAATAGCTCTGAAGGGGGGTACAAGGATGCTGGAGAGGGACTCTTCATCCAGGACTGAAGTGATGGGACAAGGGGTGATGGGTTCAGACTGAAACAGGGGAAGTTCAGGCTGGAGATAAGGCAGAAGCTCTTCCCTGTGAGGGTGCTGAGGCGCTGGCACAGGGTGCCCAGAGAAGCTGTGGCTGCCCCATCCCTGGCAGTGCTCAAGGCCAGGTTGGACACAGGGGCTTGGAGCAAGCTGCTCCAGTGGAAGGGGTCTCTGCCCGTGGCAGGGGTTGGAGCTGGAGCAGCTTTAAGCTCCCTTCATCCCAAACCATTCCATGATTCTATGATTTCATTTGCTTGGGTTGCACTTGGTCAACTATAAAAAGAAAAACCACAAGTTCCAAGTGAAGGAAGAAAGCCTCCAAGCTTCCCACAGGTGACCTGAAACTCCCTGGCAACAGAAAGAAGGAATTTTGAAGCCTTGGAGTAAGTTTATACATGGTGATGATCAGTCTCATGTTCTGGGATCTGCTTTCAACAGCATTCAAAGACTGACCTCAAGACTGTTCCCAAAGTGGGGCACAGCACTCCCTGCTTTTCCTTTTTTCTCTCTCCAAGT